TTCTTCTACTCATTCTCCCCCCACCTCTACAGCCCTCCAGTCAGTCATGAAGTTTTGTCAACCTGTCTCCCAAACATGTCCTGCTATCTCTTTCTAATGTCCATTGCCCTGGTTCACGTCCTCATCACTTGCATAAGTAGGCTATAAATCAACTTACTAAACCATTGCTCTTGATTTCTTTTGAATATGATGGAGCGATATGCTCTTAAACTTTCTATATGTATACCTGAGCTACTGACCATTGCCAGCCATGCCTTTAGTCTCTGCTGAGTGGGCAGTGACTGATTTGCATACCATCTGGTCTTGGCTCCCAGAGCTGACTGGGTCTGGGATGGGCGCCTGACCCAAGGCTGGCCTCTGCTATTGTTCTGATCAGCTACCACGACTTGGGGGGCTGGCTATAAAATACAAGCTGAGTAAAATCCCTCTTTCGGGATTTCAGAACAGCAAGGCTGGGAGATTCAGATCCCTGTATTGCTGAACAGAAGGATCAGCAGAAATGATGGGCATGAGCAACTGCAGTTATGAGAAAGCAGATATTGTGAGTAAGTAGGGGAACTGGTGAGTCAGGACGGAAGAGGGAAAGAAAGAGGCCGAGGCACTGCATAAAGGGTTCCGGCTCTTTTTCTGTGGCTTCCCGAGGCCTGCCCCGGGATTCCCATTGTCACGATTCCATGAGCTGCTACATTATTATAAACAAAAAAAACAGCCCTAGTCTGAGTGAGCCCTTGCTTCCTGCAATAAATTGGCCAAAGTGATATGTTTTCCAGTAAGCCCTTTTAATGTTATACGAGACATCTGGAAGAAAGCAGCACTGTAACCAAGAGCAGCAATGTGCAGTCCCAAACTCAGTGTTTATTCCACTCCATTTTAAAGCATTAGCTTAGGGAAAGAAGAGAAGTTTATGTTACTATTTCCTTTGGGAGTGGGAGAATATTATGATGAGCTTCTGGTGTCAAAATTAGTCTTTATGTAAAAACAAGTTGATGCCTGCAAACATAATTTCGGAAAGGAAAAGTGTGAAAATGGCTATAATAAATGACTGAATATTGTCTGATACTTATCAATAGTGGGAAAATGAAAGCACATGTTTCCAGATATCTGCCTTTCTATTTTCAGCTGTTGAAACAGAGGGATTGTGAAGTCTCCAGGATTCTTAGTCACATGACTATATTCCTTTCTGAAATGTGAATTAATAAGTAGATTGATTGAAGATTTATAGGTAAAAAACAACATTTGGCACATATGTGAATGGCACACATTTAGTACTCTGAATATGGAGTACAATCAGCATATTTATGTCTCCTGCTCTCCCTGTAAGATGTGTTCAATGGGGAATTTCTTACTCTGTTCAGGATAAAAATGAAAAACAATAGTAAGTGTCAGGATTCTTTGGAGGATTCTCAGGCCACAGAAAGGCCCATGGTCACTTTATACTGGGTTTCGTGTGTCTGTTCCTATGTCAGAATGAAAACTTGGAACTTGCTTTAAAGTTGTCTTACCTGGAGTGCAGTGTGAAGCCATGTGCTGGTGGGATGCTATGAAAGGGGAAGGCCCTTCTCTCTTTGTTCCTGGAAGCTCTGGTTCTTCTAGGGATGGGATGGGAGAAGGCAAAAAAAGTAGTCAGGGGCAGGAGTGTTATCAGCGAGTCCGGAAGTTGTAAGATGACCTCTAGCTCTCTGGGCCTGGTAACCACTTAAAGCAGACGTTTGACGAGGCTTTCTTGGTTTCTTGGGAGGTGTCTCGCCTGTAGTTCCCTTGATTTAGGCAGATGTGCTCTCCATTTGAGCAGCTGCTTACTTCCTCAGCCCCTAGGAGCCCAGGATTCTACCTCTGCTTCTGTCCTGAGGCTCCTCCAGCCCGTCCTCTTACATTGGCCCACATCTGATCTAGGAAGAAATATCCACGCATGTTCTTCTGGACCACTATAGAGAAATAGCAGCTGTCCTTCACTCTGCAGCAGGAGTGGCTTGCTAGCTCAACTCTCATGTGACTTGCCAGCAAGGAGTTAGACCACTGGGTTCTTCCTACCTTGGGACACACATCAGGCTTTCTGATGAGCCTCATTTATGTCCATTTCTCTTGACATTAGGTGATCCCAGTCTTTTACTTTGGTGACGAGTGAGAACACATCTTTATTAAAAAAAAAAAAAAAAAAAATCCTTCAAGTATCCTGTCTCCTCAGTCTCCAAGTCTTTATGTGATCTAGTAACTCCTTTAACTGGGTCCAGCCAACACTTTAATCCCCTATAAGGATCAGTGGGTTTTTATTGACTTGTTTGAAATTCTAATGTCAGAAGTTTGTTGTTTGGATGAAGTCTCTGCCATTCCTATATACCTATAACCATGTGCTTATACTCAGGCAGGAAGTGCTCCAAAAGAACAAACTTCCAGGCTCTCAGGCCAGGCCATGGGTTGTCTCTCAGCTCACCATACTCTGAAACTCTTGGAACTTTTCCAATTCGTGGCCCAGGAGAAGGGTCAGCAACCCTAGGACATGGGGTACATGGCTCTCAGGGTGCCTGGATTCGGGAGGAACACAGGATGCCCAGCCACACAAGCGGGCCATCTTCTCTATGGCCCCCTCTCCCTAGTTGTCTTGAAGATATAAATGTCCTGCAGGGCTAGTGGAGAGTGCTGCTGGGCTTAGCATGCTTGAGGACTATAAGGACCAAGGAAGGCAGGGTAGAGAGGGCAGATAAACTTGAAGAACCAGGAGCCAGAGGGCTTGCTCTGGATGAGGGCAGGAAGTAAAGGAGGGAATGGTTACAAGGATGGGGGGGGGTGTCACATTACCTGAGGTCCTTCACAGTGTGAATCCCAATCTACTTGGTTGTATCTCCTTCACTCGCTTCCCCTTCAGTCCAGCCACATAGAACCGTCTGCTGTTTTCTAAGTATGCCAAGCCCTGCATACTCTTATTTTCCACATGCTGTTCCTTTACGATGGAACCTCCTCCTCCTTCTCAGTCCTACTCTATAGCTTCTATAAGTCATCAAAATCTAGTTTAAGTTTAATTTTCTGTGAAGACTTCTTGCTACTTTCCTCATCTGGCTGCTGTGCCATTTCATACATGTCTCAGTTCCAGCCATCACTGCATGACATTGTAGTGCTTTATTAACTTGCCTCTCCTTGCTCCCCAAAAGAGTGATGGTCTAAGACATGGACTCATTCATTCTTTTAAAATTATTATTTTTTATTAACACAGAATGTATTTGTTTCAGGGGTATAGGTCTGTGATTCATTCATCAGTCTTACACAATCCACAGCACTCCCCATAGCACATACCCTCCCCAAAGTCCATCACCCAGCCGCCCTATCCCTCCCACTGGACTCATTCATTCTTGTATTCCCACCACCTGCCACTGTTTCAATGTCGTAGGGACTTCTATGAGACCACTATTGCTGTGTAACAGTCTACCACAAATTTAGCAGCTTGAAACAACACAAATTTATTATTAAAGTTCCTCCAGATCAGGAATCTAGGCATGGTGTGGCTGGATGCTCTGATCAGTGTTTCAGTGAGCTGAAATCAAGATGTTATTCCAGGCTCTGGTTCCATACTGGGTTTAGGATCCTCTTCTAGGCTCAATGACTTTACAGAATTTGTTTCTCGAAGCTGTAGGACTGATGTCCCCATTTCCTGCCACCTACTGCCCAATGACTACTACTCTCAGCTTATAGCAGCCACCCAGTTTCGCCATGTGGCCCCAGTAGGAAGTTTACAAACACACTGATGTTTGCTTCCTTCTAGGCTGGCTGGACACATCTCTGATTTCTTCTGCACCCAGCCAGAGAGAACTTTCTGCTTTTAGAGAGCTCACCTGACTAGATCAGGCTCCACTAGTATAATCTGGCTTTTGCCATTTGATGTATCCTAACCATAGCAGTGATATTTCATCATATTCAGTGAGTTCCACCCACACTCAAAGGAGTTAGACAAGGGTGAGGGTTCATTAGGGTTGGCTTAGAATATTGCCTGCTGCAGGGCTGAATGAATAATGTCAAATAAGATGTGTTCCAGAAATTTATAAATTATAAACACTGCTATTCAGTTTTAAGATTTTTTTTTCCTCTTGTCACTCTGGAATGCTTTTTAAGTTGGTCCCAAATTTGTGTTGAGTCCAGCATAGTTGAAGATGTTGCATGTGAGATAATACAGTAATATCTCTACCATGAGCGCAGGTAGTACTGGAAATTCAGGGTAGGGGGCAAGACGTGATCTGACAACTGACTGACTGGCTGTATTATCTTAGGCTAAGTCCCTGAAACTCTCTGAATGTCATTATTTCTCATCCTGTATAACATGAGCGGGTAGGACTACACAATGTATAAAGTTGGCCAGCTCTAATATTCTGTATTTTCTAAGACTAAAACATACTGCTCAAATTAAAATCTAGCCAAGTGACTCACAATATCCAAATTCATTACAATAGTTCACAAAAGAATTTCATTATAGATGAAATTACAGTGATGTGATTTTAAGAGGAAAAGGCCATTTTGTGTTTAAATGAATCCACTGCTATATTGGTTGAACTTAACTAAATATAAATAGAGGTACACAACTACATTTTTAACACTTTACATAAAATGGTGAAAAATATTATCTTTAGATGACATATCTGTCCAGTTATGTTCAGAAGTGAATTTTCTCCAAGATATTAAAACCTGATACTGTCTTACAATTTGAATTAACTCAATTGATGACAAGCGAATAACTATCAAAGGCAGCCCTCAAATATTATGAATCAATTCACTGACTACGTGTGAAGCATGTTGAGATTCTTATACACATTTTGGAGGTTTAAATCTTTCTTTTGTTTTTCTCAAATGAAGCCTTTTTGACTAAGATAATTATTCTCTTGTACCCCCCCCAAAAAATGAATTCTAATTTTAAACAGGTATTATTAAATCCGACTGAAATAGGCTTCATGCAGATGTATTTGTTAAAACACCCCTTTATTGACTGTGCACAGTTATTAACAATTCACATTTCACTTTATCTACTGAGTGGAAGAGCATTTATTCTTTCATTAAAAAGTTAAGCCCTTAGGGCAGCAGCAGGGATGCAGAGCCTTCTCCTATAAACTGCACTGTCCAGTGAATGTAAAATGCTTCCATATTAATACAAAAGGGAAAAATAAATAAAACAAGTGCATTTCCCCCATCCTCCATCATCCCCTTGCTGCTGATATGCTCCTGTCATTTTATAAAATGCCAGCATGTAAACAGTTTCTACACTGTTCCCATACTTCCATCAGTCAGAAGAGTAAGGTAACCATTTATTTATTGGGCACCACCTAGTTCAGAATGTCTGTAGGGCCGGGCAAGGCCATGTCAAAGTCTTTAGGAAGATGCCATCTGGACAGAGTAGGTGGCGGATCATGAAGGCATCCTCCAGCATCCAGCACCTTGCTGCTCAAGTTTCTGGAGCTGCTTTTCAAGTTTTGAGATGTCTACTCGATGCATCATCAGAAACTGGCCATTCAAATGGAAGACAGGGATGTCAAATTTATACCTTTCATACCAAGCAGAGTTTTCTGGAAGTGTGATGTCCACCTCCTGTAAAATAACCTGAAATGGAGACAGACTAAAGCTCTGTATTTTAGAGAGCATAGAACGATACAACAGCCACAGTGCCAATCTGATGCCCAGATGAGCTCTCATGCTGAAGGGTTTTGCTGTTGTCTGCCTATCTGAGGTTCTAAGTGAACTCATGTCCCTGATTTCCACAACTTGACTGATTTCGTTATATTCCTTAACTCTCAGTTTTGCTCTTTTTCTGTTATACCTATTACATTCAGTGTCGGGTCACTACTCCATTCCCAGTGAAATAAAATATGTCCCAACTGGGAAGCTGAGGAATCAGGACACATGCACTTTGCACATAGGGATAGGAAAGGCATCATGGTTCGCTACAGGAGAACACTTCCATGGAAATGACAAGAGGAAGATAAAATGAATGGGGACACAAGTTTAAAGAAAGCATGAATATTGCACCTGCTAGTTAGCTTTGGTTCATATTAAGAGTCAGAGTAAGAAAACCAGTACTGCTCAGAGAAAAACACTTAGGGGTAATGAGTTTTGTGGAAATTAGCACTGAAATCTCTCTCTGAAGAACAGAAAGAAAACTTAAATGAAAAATCATTTAATCTTTTCCCAAAGAAAGGATCCAGGCAGATAATCTACACCACATACACTATCCATTCCATATACATAAAGGCACACCACTGTATTATGCAGGTTTCCCCTGCTTTTCGAAAGCATTCATCAGGCCACTTGGCTATTACAAAAGACCTACATTAGTACCTGTTTTGCTAATGGAAAAATCTGAGGACTTTTGCTTTTATGAAAAAAGATGAAAAATGAAAATAGTGTTCAGTGTTGGTTTTGCCGTTCTGTAGGCAGTGCCTACACTGAGCAGTGAGAGTGGCACCACCAAGCTCCTTCCCTTGGGGCCTCCTTGCAGCATCGTAACACCAAGCCCCTAGAGCTTTGAACTGTGTGAGCATCTGTGCTTTATCTCAGTTTATTCTGTGTATCCATCAGCAAGAAATGTCCTAAAGTACCAGAAAAGCCTGAGAAAGGTTATTTCTTGGGTCTGGGAATGATAAAAATTTTTTTTCATAAATGAATGTTAATTGCTTCTTTGCTTCACTCCACTTGGGCATGTGAAGGTTGGATAGGAATGCTCTACTTTCAGAGAGTGGAGGGGGAAACCAGTATTACCCTGTTTTTGTAGGGCTCCAGTATTTCCTTGGCTTCATCACAAAGGGGGCATGGATCCTACAGGAAGGAAAAAATAAAGCCATTAAATTCAAGGAATGGCATGTAGCCTGACAAAAACCACAAGAAGTAGATTATACTTACTTTAAAGGATGTGTTTTTTTTTTTTAAGCCAGGTTAATTATACTGTTTTATTTCCAAAGCAAAACATTGCCATAGAATCTTATAAATAGCTAGTGTTTCATATAAGTGGGCTGTCAGCATTTTTCAGTTGTTCTGCTTTGATTTTTCACCATAAATAAATCTATTTATACATATATGTATATACACTTATAATAAATTTAGATGCTTACCTTTGTTACACACATACATGTATAAACCTGTCACATATACATTTACATACATCTAAATGTATTACATACGTGTATATGTAGATACATAAACATATACTACATTTAGATGCTTACATTTTTTGTCACTAGCTTTATCTGATGGATATCAGGGAAGATTATTTTTCATTGATTTATAGTCGTAGGGCTTTGTCCTTCCTGTGACAGGAACACTTTTCTGGCCTGGCTGACATCACCAGAATTGCTTAAAGTCTATTTTGAAATGGAGGCATTGAGCTTTGCCTGTCTGTTTCTCCTCATCAGTCCACAGGAATAAACTCATTGAGATGAAGTTAGATAGTGATTGCCCCACCAACAAAAAGGGAGAAATCTCTATTTACTTCGGGTGATGATTGTACCAACTCTTTAATGGTCTGCCTGTTTTCTCATTGCAAGTGTCAGCAATAGCCTTCCCAGGTTAATTCTCTGCCCGAGGAACAAGCAAGTTTTAGTGTCGGTTGTCTGTATTCTTGAACCATGTAGTGGAGAAGTCTTTTGAGAATGCTGTGGATCTTTGGCAGATTTTAAAATCTCAGCTCTAGACTCCAGGAACAGCTACTAGCTATAGGTTCTCTTGCATGAGCTCAAAATAGACTCACCATTACCGATGCTTATATAAAACCTGCTTTTTAACATGACAGGAAGAGGTGAGCTGTTATGTAAAAGAAAGGCCCCTCCTCCAGTTTAACTCCCAGCTTGTTTTGAAATAAGGACCCAGATCATCAAAAGGCAGTTTTTCTTCATTAGGGTCTTTCTGGCCCTAACTTCCTGGTTCAGAGAATTAGGCTCATCATTTATTATGAGCACCATCAAGAAACAGATTAGGGATAGTCTGTGATGTTTTAAAGAGAATCACATTGAAATTTTCTAAGAAAGTTACAAAAAGTCAACAGAAGATTTTAAAAAGCAAAAGTTGTTAGAAAAAGAACAAGCTAAAGAAGTACCAAATATACCAACATTTTGCTTTTATGTTAAAAAAAAAAAAACTTCAGTTGAACCTAGATCACATTTTCTGTTTTGTTTTTGTAAACATGGACATTGGTGCACATTATTCTGTGTATATGTATTTTTATTAGGAAAGGTTCATCAACTTTTAAAGAGGCCTATGAACTGAAAAAGGATTAAGACTCAGTGGTCTGGACCATTCAAACTTTCTTCTCTAGGACTTTCCACAGCACCAGCAGAGCAGGTACTTACTGTATCCCTAGAATGGAATGGACGTTCATTGGGTTAGCCATCCCACTCCCCTTTCTCGTAGGAAGAATGCTGTGATTTTGCCTCAGAAAAACTGCTCTTGGCATGTGGCTGACTGAATCCCTGAACAAATAGGGTAGAACACCTGACTTAGGCTGAGACAGTCAGTGTATCATATCCCTCTTGACCACAAATGGCTCAGGGATTGGCCAATCTTATATACCTAGTAACACATACCAAGGATTCAATATAAATTTTAAGCTAAATGAAAGATTAGTGTGGCTCTCCACTCCCCAGATGTCTATGGCTAACTTGGCCATTATTCAAACTGAAAAATAATGCATAATAGTTAGGCTGAGTGAGCACCACTAGCCTTAAGGGATTATTTTATTTTTGTGGCTAATTCTCATATGCATTTCTCATATGTAGACACAGATAATCAATTATTTTTATTCCATAATTTCCAACAATACAATATATACTATGGATATGAAAAGCAGTTTAGATAACTATTCGCAACAAGAAATTCAATTATTAAAAAACTATTTTAAACTTTGTTATTAGACAGCCATTAGATATTTTAAGATTGCTAAAGATTGCCTGAAATCTGAAAAACATATTAAACAAGACAAGTTTTTTTGCTTGAATTGGGAATATTATTCCCTGAGGTTAAGTGTTACCCTATCCTTTCTTTCTTTTTTTGATTATATATCACACAAAGTAATGTTAACTAGTAAAAGGAAATCAGTGATATTTATATTACAAATTTCAGGGGAAAAAAGCTCTTAAAATTTTTCAACTTTAAGTTGGTGAACCTTTCCTAATAAAAAATTTTCAATTTTAAGTTATGGCTTAAAACTCGTGTTAGGGATAAGAAAACAAGGACAGTTGTACTTGTCAATCCTTGTTATTTGTGGCTTTCATATTTGCAAATTTGCCAGTCACTAAAAGCACCAAAACCAATATCTGTGGCACTTTTGTGGTTATCTGCAGACATTCGAGGATATGCACAGAACAGTGAAAAATCTGAGTCACTGAGAGTGCACATTGCCAGCGGAGGTCGAAGAAGACAATGATCCGACTTACTGTTTCAGGTCTCACACTTGTCAACAGCGTCCTTTTCCTGATCTACTGGGTGTCATGCTTTTTGCATTTTTGTGTTTTTTGTTGATTTGGCTATTTAGAATGGTCCCCATGTAGAGGGCTGTGTAGTGTTGTGCAGTGTTTCCAAGCATAAGAAGGCTGTGATGCGCCTCGTGGTGAAAATACTGTGTTAGATAAACTTTGTTCAGGCATGAGATATGGTGCTGTTGGCCCTGAATTTGGTGTAATGAATCAACAATACATAGTAAATAAAGTATCTTTAAACAGAAACATATGCCAAACAAGGCTATGTATTGATCAGCTGACAAAATGTGGCCAGCAGCTCACTAGAGTCTAACCATAACCTCCCCTGGGAGCACTGGTTTAGTTCACTAAATTACTTCACTAATTCAGTGTTTGTGGTGACTTTATGGAACATAGCCATCACAAGAATTAATTATGTTTCTAAGCGATGTATTTATAAACATCATCTCTCTTCTGATAGTTCCTCCTTCCAATGCAGAGTTTGGGAGACTATTAAATATATTAGTTTTCCCACTGAAAAGTGTGAGACAATAAGGCATGTGGGTAGAAACCAGGGTTAGTACCATTGTAACTGCAACTGTAAAGTTGGGGGACAGGTCTGAGGACAGCTTATTCCATTGCTTTCCTTTCAGTGTTTCCCCATCCCTCTTCTTAAATGTACAACTTTCTTCAGACAACAATTTAACACCTTTTGTTTTTGAAGTAGTAATTTTACTTTTTAACTCTGTACCTTTGTAAATAAGGTCAGCACAGGAAGAATGGTCTTCGAGGCAGAGAGATTTCTCATGAGGAGTTGAAGGGAGTATTTGGCAAGATGCACGCTATTTCCTTGAAACCAGAGCATCTTAATTCTGCCAAAAGAAAAACAGACCGATAAACTTATGTGCCCTAGATTTTGCTGTTTATAATATGAACAGTAAGCTGCAAGCCTATGATGGAATTTGATGACTTGAGAATTGCTTCTTGGACTCCAGGAGTGTCAGAGAGGCCCAGATGTTTGGCAAGTCTCCATGATGCCTCAACATTCACTGTATTCCAAACAAAACAGAATTTAGAATGGGAAAATATCCATATTTATGGATGAGCTGTGTGCCTAATCACTTGGGTTCTGCAGGCAAACTTCATGGGTTTGTTAATTTGAATACAAAATTAAATTTCACCTGCAGATTGTGCCAGCATCCTGATGATTCCCTAAAATGGGGAGGTTTCCTGAGATGGTTCTTACCTGCAGAGATAGCTTATCTTGTTGGCAAGCATTCCACAACACACAGCCACCTTCATGGTAAAGGAACAGTAAGTAAGGAGCACAAATCCCCAACTGACGGTTAAGGTTGTCACTTAGGAGATCCATGCCTCACTCTGTTGCAAAAGATGGGGAAACACAGAGTTGTACTAAGAGGACCTATAGGGGAGAGTTAGGTTGAGTTGACTTGTCAGGAGCAAAAATCTACTCAACTCCTTAAGTATTTTAAAAGGAGATTGCCATCATTTTTAAAAACATACACAAGTGTACTAGTGTTACTACTGGAGATACTCCAACACGAACAGCTTGGTAATAGCAGCACATGTCAAACACTAGGCTTTGAAGCTCCCTCATCTTGCTTCTTTGCTCGACATAAGACAGCCTACTTATTTCTATTCTACTGAGCCTCCAGCTTTGTCCTTAAAACTACAGATATGATAATTTCACTTTTAAAACACATATGCACTGTTGACTTTATCATTTATCAATATTCTCAAAATGAATTCATTCCTGGGATCTTCATTTCTTAACTTTGCTTTCCAACTTCATCCCACTTACCCCTCCCTTATCTTGGCAAGCAGCAGCCACAAAGATTCCCTTTCTGTTCCTTGAATACCTAAAGACCATTTCTTTAGCAGGATCTCTGTACTTGTTGTCCTTATGCATGAAAAGCTCTCAAGTAGCTTCCTTCCCCTCATTTGGCCTGGGTCATGCCTTAGTGACGACCTTACCAAGGTTGGCCGGCCCACCATGCTCCATCCTTATGCCTTGCTACGGTTTTCTTTTATCTTTTACTGCCTAAAATGGCTTCTTTACCTCTGTCCCCCTCTATTATAGTGTGACTTCCATAGGAGTAGGTACTTGTTTGCCCCACTATCCCTGAGCATCTATAATTAAGTTGGCACATAGTAGGTATTCAGATATTTGTTTGAATATTTGAAGTATTGGAGTGAACCTTTCTCCACCTTTTTAGTCTCCCCTCTAACCCTAACCAGACACTCAATGTGCACAGCAGTCACTAACTGAGCATAGCTCATGTTATAACTAAATGTTAGTATTCTTCAGGGTGTCCATAAGACTGTGGGCCAGGGCCCTACAGTTGGTTCCAACCCCTTCACCACCAGCTCTGATCTCTGCTCTCCACAGAGCATGACTATATTAATTATGTGCTAATCTCTAGTGCTGACTAGGCTTCTTAGTGTAAGATTAGCCTTAAACTCATTTCAAACAGAATGATACGATTTTAGAGAAAAATGCCAGCCCTATCAAACTAGTGTAAAGACCACAGGACAAAAAGATTGGATTCTGATCTGTGAAAACAATAATCTTTCCTTCACTCTTAAACTCATAGCCTTCCACTTCTCCCTGGATCTCCCTGCTAATTGAATGATCTCAATAACACATAAAAGGGAATGTGATGAGCACTTTGCAATGATCTGCTACCCACCATTATTCCAAGATGGAAAGTGGATCCAAACAATTTTACAGTACGCTGTGCTACTCGCAATTAAGTTTTAAGCCCTGGTATACACATTTTTTTTTATAAATTAAGCAGAATCAGCAACTCCAATAGGTGAATGTGGTCAGAGACCACAGCTTCTAAGCATGGCTTTGTCTACACAGGATATGAATGAGGAGGGAAGGTAGACTACTAGCCATTTTTACATTAGGTAAAAATTTTTGCATCCTTGGTTTTGGGAAAGCCCTATAATCACAGTGGCACATCTTCCTAGGGAATAGAATTAAAGGAGCTGTGCTATAGGGGAGAAAGAAAACAAAAAATTAGTTTTGTTAAAGACAGAAAGATAGTTCTTGGAAATGAGAAGGATTGAGCCATTTGTGGCAGTGACCTAAGACAACCACCAGGATAGAGAACCACAGCTGCATGCTTTTGGTGGAGGGATTTAAGATTTATTGATGTCTGGCTGGTAAGGAAAGGAGACACTTAACTGCTTTTACCTAGCTGAGTTGAGACTGAGGTGTTAAGGCTTTAAAAAAAAAATTCACATTCACAAAGGAAATCTGCTTCAGTATTTCCAACATGACAAAACACAGCATGTGGTCTTGGTTGCACCCAAGACAAATAAAACCTGTCATAGTAAACAGAGTTGCTATTCATTCCAGATTTGCTGGAATATTTGTTCACCCAACCCAGAGAGCTGAGTCTTCAGTGATGCTGCAACCATTCTGTTTAAAATTAGTTCTCTTTCCACTGTTAGACCCACTTCCACCTTATTCCGTATATTTAATCACTTAAACATGGCACATCTGTTTACGGAGAAATGCATTAGCATTATGCAGTTTTACTACCTGCATATTTTCCGAATGTCCTAAGGCACATGCATTTTACCACACTGTTAAATTAACTTCTTTCTTTGTAAGCACTGTATTAGAATATTATATTAGAGTATGATATTTAAAAAGCTCCCTATACCTCTCCTGGGCAGAAATAAGATCTGAAGTCTAAAATTCTGAACACAGGAGTCCAGTTAGTTCTAGAAATAAACGAAAAATGATACACCCCATTTGCCACTGCATCATACTCTTCTTAGAATATTTTACTAACTCTGTAAACCCTAACACTATTGCTGTCAATGTCACACTCAGTGAATCATGCCTTCTTGAAGTAAAATCTTAACACAGGCTACTCTGTCAATGTGACATTTTCATTAGTTCTATTATTTTTGAGCAGTATCTCAGCATTATAAAAAAATACTCTGAAAGGCAGTTTCTGCCTGGTAGCTCATGACTTGGGAGAGGACAACACCTTTTTGATTATGTCATTGAATTTAGTCATGAAACTTGTGTCCTTACTACACACAGACACAATTTCATCCTTTGTATTTTGTTACATGCCTCTGTGATATGAGCAAAAAGAGCTGTGTTCATAATATCAAAGAAGCACAAATGGGTCACCTTTGTCATAGACAAAAAAAAAAAAAAAAAAGTAAAAGGCATAAGACTGGATTTAGAATGTGCCTAAAACAAATTCCACAGCCTAACAATAAAGATGGTGACTCCTGCTGTTTCAAGTCCAGGCTGCTCAGAGGCGTGGATCAGCCTGACAGAGAAAGGGAATGCTGGCTTTTCAACAAACTGAGGCTGACTCCAGTGGGCTTTACGGCAGAATCAAATACAGCATGGGGGAGGACTGATTGGACCCATTCAGCCCTCCTTGAAGCCAAGATAAGGAAGATAACTTAACTTTATAGCATTTCCCTTGTGAGGCACTCAAGGGCATACCATTAAAGCAACTGATTACAGTACAGAGAGAAGCCAGGGTCGTTTGAGCCTTTATTAAGGATTATTCATTTCTTGCATGAGGAGCTGCCCAGACTAGGGCTGCATATCACTTATGTAGGGCCCCTGGATTCTTCAAACACTGCATGTGTCTGATTAGAAGAGAAACAACATTGTTCTCGCTTGAGTAGAGAAACTGACCTTCACTGACCAGAATTTTTATTCATACAAAGCATCCTTTGGCACACCGAATCTCCAGGCTCACATGATCCCTCATCAGTAAGCTGCAGTGTTAGTTCATGAGCATAATGAAAAAGTCTATATAAGCCCAGGTACTGCCTTGGTTATTAACAGGTAATGTTGGAGCTTCACAAGAGTATAATGTAAATTTAATGCTGAGCTGACATTAACCAAACACTATTACAGTAGCTCCTGCTGAACGTGTGTTCCATGAGGAGAGGCTCAGGGCTTCCGTTTAGTCATCTGTGCCATATGAGATGTTAAGCCCTCATTTCACATTAATTACCATCTAAGTTAATGTTTCTATTTTTACCCAAGTGACTAGAAACAATCGTGTGTACGCACACATGCACACACACAAATATACCACACACCTCTACTGGGAACAAAAGCCCATCATTCTAGATTACTGAAAATTTATGTAATGAGATGAGGTTGCTCTTAGCAGACTTGTCTGGGTCACTGGGCTCAACCTAATGCAGGGAAACAGGGACACATGTTGCCACCCCAGTGCCCCTCTGTCTCTCTCCCCTTTGTCCAAACCTCCTCTTCTCCCAAACAAGTGGGAGCCTAGCCTGGGATTTGGGTGACAAGAAGAGGCAGCATTAAGGGACATCCCCAAAGCTGAAAATGAAGCAGATACTGTGATTCGTCAACTCCAAGGAGCTAAGCAGGGCAAGAATGAGGCTACAGAATAAAAACAGGGAGTGGGACCCTCACTCACTGGCATAGGTGGGATCGCAGGTGCTTTTCTAGCTCTGTAGCCTCAGCAGCCAGAGAACCAGGCCAGGGGGACTGCCTGAGAGGTGGAGCCAGCTGAGACGAGATGTGGCAACAAAGATCCAAGCCAACCACCCACCTGTAGGCCCACTTGTACATGGTGTCGTGCTCGGCTTCATTCTTTCCTTCTTTATTTAAATTGAGGTATAATTAACATAACATTTTAATTAGTTTCAGGTGTACAAACATGATTCGGTATTTATATATATTGTGAGACAATCACCACAGCTTCATTCTGACCATAGAGTTCGACTGCTGATTTGATCCCACATAACACATGAAACCATGAGTAGCCCTACATCATGCCCCAGACCTGGGGAGCAGGAAACAGCTTCTCACACCACACAT